ACCCCCAAAAAATGTTTTGCACTCAGATTTCTAGAGCAGCTTTACTCACGTTTCCAAAACTTGGAAACAACAGAAATGCCTGTTAACAGATGACTGGATAAGCAAATGATGATACATCAATATGTGAAAATACTAGTCATCGGTGAAAAGCAACAACTACTTGGGCAGACAGCAAGATGGCATTATGCCAAGTGAAAGAAGCCAGACACAAAAGAGAACTCCCTGTATGAGTACACTATGTGAAAACCTAGAAAAGCCAAAATTCAAACAAAAGAAAGTGCGTCAGTGGTTGCCAGGGCTAGAACTGGGGAATTGGTTTTGGAAGGGAACAAGAGAATATTTGAAGGGGATGGAAATGTTCTGTATATTGATTGTGGCAGTGATTACTAGGCTGTTCACGTTTATCAAAACTCATCGACCGTCACACTTGAAATCATGGAATTTTATCGTATGTATGATTTATACTTTAATAAAGCTGATAAATAAAAAAACATAGGCACGTAGGAACAAATGGTTGAATAAACCTGTTTACTTTTTACAACAAAAAGTCTCTTATATAGATCTGCTAGTCTGCTTCATTGTGTGTAAGGGCTTTCAGAGTCTGGGCATGGGACTAAGATGAGATTTCAAAATTTCAGAGTATCAGTTTTTCATATCCTTCAATAACCACGTATTTCTCTTACATATAAGACTGAGAGAAAAAAAAACCCCAAGAATTGAGTAACTATTAGAAAATAGGTCATTCTGCTATTATTCAAAATTAATTTCCCTCAAGTTCATATTGATGTTTATTCTGAGCCTATTAGGGGCCCAGGGTGTACCTCCACATGGCCTGAACACTTCCTGCCGGTGCTTGTACGTGCATACTAGTGGACGAAGGGATGGGAATTTGGGGAATGGCATGTAAATGCCTTGGAGCAAATGTCTCACCCCTACTTTATATCCATCACTATAGTCTGCTTACCCACCTATTCACCTGAGTGTCTCAGGAGATAAAAACTTCTGCACCCGAAAGCACCCTGTTAGGAGGCTGAATAATCAGTTCTTTAGGACTTATCCTTCCATGTGTCTTTCGCTGTTCCAGTTCACGGAGACAGGAATCACCTGACCCCTCTGTGCCTAGGCTGGGACTCGAAGGCTGGGCTCAGCTTGGACTGTAGACCACAGTGCCTTCAGGTGGCGCAGGACACGGATTCCACTGAGCCGAGGCAGAGGCAGCGTGCTTGCCTTCTGAGCTAGCCCCAGAGATCAGTAGCTCTTCCTCCAAACTGCATTGGTTACCAGGGGCCCACTAAGGCCAGCTCCAGGTTCCAGGGGAAGGGAATTAGGTCCCCAAACCACAAAGTAAATTTGCCGCTTTCCCTTCAATGCCCTGGTCAGGCTGTTGAGGATCCCTCTGGAAGGTCTGTTGACTTCCTAATCTGTCCACTGCCACCACTCTGGTCCCATCTTCCCTCTTCTTTGAATTTTTGCCATACCCTACCTGTCTTGGTCACTTGGACCTCCATTCTCTCCCTTCAAAACAACTTCCCCCAGTCCCATTATTACTGCCTTCCTCAGATATTCTAAGCACCCTCTCTTCTACAGAAAAGATGCAAAATTCAATCCAACGTTCAAAGCAATCCGCTGTTTGACCCTGACCACTCCTTGCTGCCCTTTCTTCTGTATTCCTCCCCTGCATTTGGGCCTTAGACTTCGTGCCCGCCACTCATCACTTTGATGAGCATATCCTGAACCTCTCCCATCTGGCCTGGAGTCAGCCTGCTGCCATCGGTGCCTGGAATCTCTTTCGCTTCCACGCCTCCTTCCATGCCCAGTTCAAATTTCTGAGGAAATTGGATTGGAATCCATGTCTTCTATCCCTTTAGCACATTTAATCTTTAATGCTGCTCTCCTCACAGTCTGTCTGCACACGGTCACTTGATGTACAGCCCCCTTCCTACAAAATGTCTAAGGTGGGTCTCCCTGTTTACAATGCCAGCTGCCTTGAGAATGACTTGTTAGCCCTCGTCTTCCAACTCTGTTCTGCGGTATGTTACGTAATCAAACTTAGTGTCTGGCTTTTTATTCCTGGTCTGTGAAGACAAAAATTCCTGTATGCATCTTAAAACCCACTTGGAAATGGTTTTCAGGGACGTACTGTATTATCCCTGACACAACTACTGTGTTTCTGAAAATCGCACATTTTGAAAAAAAATCGATCCTTCTTCCTAAAGGAACGCACATGTAAAATTCCAATTTTGTAATAAACCTAAATTAGCGCCTTTAGGTTAGTGAGGCTTAGACATTTACAGATAGTTCACTAAATTTAGAATTGCTACCTGAAACCAAGTCCTAGGCCATACAGTATAACACCTCACAGACCTGTTTCATACCAGAGACACTAGCAGACCAGCGGAGCAAGGTCATTTAACTGCATTTCATCTTGCAATCGAGGTGCTTGGTTTTGATTCTAGGAGTTAAACTCATGCACCAGCAATCAGTATTTTGAAGATTGCTTCACCTATTAATTCCGTTCATACTTCAAAACATGCTTGAACATAAAAGTTGGCGCAGTTTAATCCATCGTGGTTTCCATGAGTTGACACAAATACAGTCATTTAGGAAAGCAGATTGGTTTTGTAGTCGTTTGGAGTTGCAACATGGGCTCAGTCACGGATGCGTTTGCTTATGAAATGGCTGGGGAGGTATCAAACTAAAGTTTATAAAGTTGAACCAATGGGATGCCTCTGTTTAAGAGTGAGGGAATAATACACCTATAAATTAAAAACTACAGGTCAGTCAAGTGGCTTTCCGTTTCTGATCTGATGAGGCAGCCTGAGGCCTTCAGAAGGTTGCATGTCTGCTGTCTGACATCCTTCTAATAAGTTTAATATGTAAAATTTCAACCCAATTTATCGATTTCTTATAGTAAGTTGTAGTTTCTTTAAACATTTCAGTAGATAATCTTGTATTTTCTTTATTTTTTTATTTTTTAGATTTTTGTCAGAATCTTTTTTTTTTAATTGGAGTTCAATTTGCCAACATATAACACCCAGTGCTCATCCCATCAAGTGCCCCCCTCAGTGCCCATCACCCATCACCCCCACCCCCCGCCCACCTCCCCTTCCACCACCCCTTGTTCGTTTCCCAGAGTTAGGAGACTCCTAACTCAATAGTCTCTTTTAAGTTATATCAATGCAAATTAGAGACTACTTCTGCTGGAAGTAGTTTTTATTTATGAACTTGATCTTATCAGCTATGTAACACGAGTGAGGTACTTAAACATTAAAGTGACTATTTCTAGGAAGCCCCAAGGACCTGCCGTCCCTCTCCTCCACCGTTTAGCAATGTGGGGGAACTCCGGTATCTTGTGACAGCAAGACAGGCTTCTCGGCTGACGCCCTAACGTGTGAAGCAGAGACAAGCCGACCCTGCTGTGTCGTAACTCTTGACTCACAGACTCTGTGAACATAATAAGTTGGTGGCTGTTTCACGTTGTTAAATTTGGTGTGAGCTGTCCAATAGCAGCGGATGACCGGAACAGGTTCGGTGTCCTTAACAAAAGACAGGAGAGCAGTTCTGATGAGCTTGACATGCCTGCAAGCTGGTGTTTAGACATGGGAGTCGAAGGCTCGGGAGAGGAGTTCAGTCTGGAAACAAATACCTGCCAATTATTTGTGTAAAGGTAATAATTGAAAAAGTGGAAGAAAGTGAGTCATCCAAGGAAGTGCACGCAGCATAGTAAGAAAGGAAAATCAGGGACTGCCCTGGGGGCAGAGAAATGAGCTTGGGAAGAGGGGGCAGAGGAGGAGGAGAAGCAGCTCCCTGAGCCAATGGACTAGGGAAGAAGGAAACCAAAGGCAACAAGTTGGGGAGCACCTGGGTGGCTCAGTCTCTTAAGCAACTGATTCTTGATTTCAGCTCAGGTCAAGATCTCAGGGCCCCAGGACTGAGCCCCACGTCTGGCTCTGCATTCAGCGGAGAGTCGGCTTGAGATTCTCTCTCTCCCTCTCCCTCTGCCCCTTTCCCTGCTCACACATACTCTCTCTCTAAAATAAATAAATCAATCTTTTTTTTTTAAAAGGGCCAAGTTGGATATGATTGTAATAAGTTTTAAAACATTAACAATAGCTGTGCTTCTACATGTGAGAGGAAATTGAAATAATCCATGTTCCACGTGAATGTGTTTGATAAATCACATATTAAGTGTAGATTTTTAGAAATGAGTCCACAAATTACCATGCTCTTCTGAGGTACTAAAGTTTAGGTGATAAAATCATGTCCATTAACATATCAGAGAGTGTTTGCAGTTTCTCGAATTGTATTTAAACGGGAAATATCAGAAAGGGAGACAGAACATAAAGACTCCTAACTCTGGGAAACGAACTAGGGGTGGTGGAAGGGGAGGAGGGCGGGGGGTGGGGGTGCATGGGTGACGGGCACTGAGGGGGACACTTGACGGGATGAGCACTGGGTGTTGTTCTGTATGTTGGTAAATTGAACACCAATAAAAATTAATTTATTAAAAAAACGTGAAATTCTTTAAAGAATCAGTAGGTGGAGCACATTTACTGAGGAAAATCTGATCTGGGTTTTGGGGGATTAATATTGGGGAGCAGGAGCAGAGGGAAGAGGAAGTGAAGTGAACCAGGAGGGAGAGATGAGGGGAGGGGGAGAGGAGGGACCTGAGAGAGGGAGAACGTGGCCAAAAAGGAGAGGGAGGCAGGAGAGAAGATGAGAGCCGTTGGGCTCTCTCCATTCAACCACGGTCCTGTTGGGGAGATGACCTGAACAAGTCATCCCATACGTAACCAAGCAGAGTTAGGTGGACCAGCATATTTCTATCTTGGCAAATGGCTTGGTGAGGTTTCATTTTTCTCTTCATTACAGAGAGATTCCAGAGTCGGTAGCGTCTATAATCCCAATAAGGTTGAATTTCTGGCAATTCCTGAGTTGTGATCTGCGTGAAATCATGTGAAATGTGTGTATTTTTCTTAGAGTCCATAAAGCTAATGAAATCTCAGAAGGATACACGATCCTGAAAAGACTGAGGACTGTTCCTCTAAATCGGGAAAGAGCCTACACTCCAGGAGGTGTGCGTGATGATTCAGTGAAGAAAGGTAAGGAAACATTTTTATCCTTTCAAAAGTTCTACTTTTGCGTGTACTTAATTGTCTGTCCATGATGAATGAGGACATTCATGCTTGTGTTTAATTTACAAACAAGCAAGGACCTTTGAGCGGGACACAGCCGCACGTGGTAAAAAATTTCAAAATTTGCTTGCCCATCTAAGTGGTGTGCATTGTTTATACTTTTAAGGGCTAAAAATGAAAGTGGAGGCATCAGAAAGCAGAATATATTGATAAATCGAAGAAAGAAAACATGAAAACAATGCAGCTTGACTTTTGCCTGGAGTTACAAGAGAGGAAATGTAAATATGCTCATTTCTCATAATTTCTCATTGACTTTAGAGGGAACTAATAGATACTGTCTAAAGAAATGAAGAACTAAGACGTTAAACAAAGATGTAATAATAGAGGGATTCACTAGAATGGAAATATAAATACCGGAATTATCCACAAAGCTCACAAAACATAATAGGGAATGAGAAAACCCCATAGGATGAGATGTATGGTATGAATTTGTTTGCAGAAAATTCAAAAGATACAAAGCTAAACCATAGACTTTTTTCTTATTACTGAAGTGTGGCTGACATGCGATGTTTATGAGTTTCAAATGTGCAACACTGTGATTCTACAGTTCTGCACCTTATTCAGTGCTCGCCACAAAGGTAGTCACCGTCTGTCACCATATAAATGTAATTACCATACTATTGAGTATATTTTCCCAGGCTGTAATTTTCACACAGACTGTTTGTAGGTGATAAAACTAAGGAAAAACCAATGACAAACACAAATTCAGGTGCGTGGGGAGGATTGAGTGAGGACTTACAGAGGACTTCCAGGTTCTCAAGTGGCCATTTCAATATTTCAACGTAACTGGGAAATTTCTTAGCCTACCACTCATATTTCTAAATGTAAATAAATATTGACTATTTAGCTGTAAATATTTTAACCTGGGAGCCGAGAAACTTTTTGCTCTGAATTCAATATACATGTCCGTTTATCTTGTTGGCATCTTGATATGTGTATTTTTTTTAAAAAAAAACAAGTCCTCCCTCCACCCATATTTAAATTAATCCCTATACTTTGTGGAAATTTTGGAAAATAAAAGTATCAAGAAGGAAATAGCCCTCCCATTTTATACACTACTCAGAAATAATCATCACCACTCAATGTTTTGGTGTATTTCTTTCTAAGCTATTTCACACGTTTGAATAATGTAAATCCTACTGTGTATATTATCTTATATCCTCGTGCTCCCCCTTTCATCTTATATCTTAAGTATTTCCCCCTATTTAAGACTTTCAAAGGCAAAGGACAGGCTGGGACTCAAAATGGGTTTCTTGAAAGCTGCCACTGAGTAGGGGCTCAAAACTACTGCTCATACTCTTTCTCTAAGGGAATTTGGCTTCCAGCTGGGGAGGAGATTCAAGGACTATTTTCTAGAAAACTACTTTCTAGAACAGTTCTAAAGGAAAAAAAAAACAAAAGATACTTTACCACTGGGAGCTTTGGAATTTCCACCACAAAATGATTAGCTCTTTCCTATGTGCACCCCCATCTCTCCACCACCAGAGCATCCAATCCAGTGTTTTAGTGCCTCCTTAGAGGAATGGATCATCAGCTACTTGGGGAAACTCTCCAAATATGAGAAAGAGAGAGAAGTAAGTGGAGACAACAGACAAGCACACCTGTAGTATTAATATCCTCAAATAAGAAATTAAATTTATTATTTAGAAATATGGAGGAAAACGGAAGATAGACGTGAAAGATTTAAAAGTCATTGCTTTTGGAGAGCAGGGCTAGAGGTGGATAGAAATGGAAGAGAAAAGGTCTTTTTCATTATAAGCCTTTATTTGCATTTGCTTTTTTTTAAACTGCAGGTATTTATTTATTAGATTGAAATAAATATTAAAAAAGTAAAAGCCATGGATTTTTTAAGGTCTCAAAACATCATTTTCTTTATGCATATTTTTCCATCATGTGGGTGTTTTTTAACAGAAAGAACTTTCCATTCTGTTACATTAATTTTTTTATCCTGAGTTGTCAATACTTTATCAGTGTTTTTAAAGACCTCTTCCTGTTTTTAACCTCACCGTTAAGATTAATTAAAGGCATGTTATGTTCAAAATAGTTGTAATTTTAAGAGATCAGATATGGTAAAAAAAACGATTTATTTAACAGGTTCTAACGGTTCTTCAGGATTCATAGAACTTTCTGTGTGGCACTCAAGTTTCTTTTCTATACACGCTAATCAGTAAAATCAGTGTTCATAAAATTTGAACTGTATGGTTGGTCACAGATTTCCTACCCATCCAGGTAGATGGGGAAGGTATTTCAGAGGGTAGGTGCTGGACAGTGCCCCAGATATATGACCTCTTAAAAGTCTTAGCGTGGGAGTTTCGAAGTTACATTTGAAATTAATGACCATCTAGCAACTTGACCACAGTTTCTGGGTTATGTTTTCTCAAGGCAGTAGCCTTCTGGCTCAACCACAAAGCCATCTCATGAGTTGCAGAGGAACTTGAGCCTATTTGTATTTGTAAAGATAGAAACCTAATTTTTTTTTCAGTTTTTACATCTTTACTTTGTTTTCTTCAAATTACATTTTAGCAAAACTTGAAGGACCTGCTATCAGTGGCTGAAAAACCTCAACATGGTTTCCTTGGCAATCACTGGAATGGGGAAATGAAAGGGAAGCTACACAATTAAAGAACAAAAAGCCACAACCCCTCCCACTCGCTCCCCTTTGATTCCCACCAAATCAGAGGAAGCTGTATGGAGGGAATAAGCCAACCCAGGTCTTAGAGAGACTGTCTGGCCTCCTCCCTGGACTGTCACATAATCAATGGGCAGCAACCGCCACGTCATGACTTCATGGTCAGATTGGCATGAGATACAACATGGGTGAGCAAAGAGGTGAGACTGAAGGACACTTTCTGTTGAGGAAAAACGAGTTACAAGCTGAAATCGTTAGGCTTCTTTCTGAAATCGTTAGGCTTTCTTTCAATGTTGTTACGTGGCCGGATTTGCACCCTGGCCAGTCTCTTATGTGGGCAGGTGGGGTGGAGTCCTCTCATTCTTATTATACTTCTGTGGTGGGAGATTCTTTCACACTGTTGGTTCCTCATAATTTTTCAGTGCTTTGCTATAATTTTACATAAAGTCGTAAATACCATGGACTCCTCTTATTGGCGTAGCGTGAACCTGTACCTGAATTATTTCAAATTCAGAAAAGTGTTGGAGTATATAGATTTGAAATGCCTATGTACAAAACAACGTATCACAATGTTTTCAATACTCATTTGTCTTTTCCTTGAGCCCTTTGATTTTCTCCCATCATAAAATACTTTTAACTACGTAAATCTTGTAAAAACTTAGCTACATATATACTAGATATACAAAGTCATCTTCCCTTTTTTTTTGTAATTCCTCTTTTGTTTTTTTAATGTAGAGTTTTTGGTTCTTTATCGCATCTCTGGCTGATGATTTATCCTCTGGATTAATTTCAATACTTTCTTTTCTGTTACTAAAATATTTTCCCTTGCACACACACCTGGACTTTCGCTGAACATCTTCTTAAATTCTGGGCATTTGTCATCTATTTTGCCTCACCATCTTTTCTTTGATGTGGCTAATTCATATGTCCCTTCCTTATATGTAGAAATCGAAATCTAGCTTTACATAATTGCTTCAGATGATAGGAATCTATTTATTTGTATATGCTTCTAACTTATCCTAAAAAAGAATTAAGGGGCTGTATAATCACACAGAAAATAGGATGGGATGCCTTCAATTAAAAGTAAGAAAAGTTAGCAAAGAGAAACGGATGCTGAGAAATTAAGGAGCTGAGGTGCAGTCGGTACCCGTGGGCTTGCCAAACAGAGCCACAGTTTGGCTTCTTGCTGCTGTAGCCCTGGTTTTTGTTCACCAGCTTCAACTTTCTTTCTTGTGGCCTGAGGATTACAACTCACTTGTATTAAGCAGGGCTCCTCAGAGAAATCAAACCGGTGGGTTGTTTATGGGATGTATGCCTGCATATACATGGGCGCAGAGGTGCAGCCGTATATAAAGAGATCTCTTTTAAGGAACAGCCTCACGTGGCTGTGGAGGCCGCCAAGTCCAAAATCGGCAGTTCGCGTCCTTCATTCCACAGACTGGAGCCCCAGGAAAGAGCCGATGGTATAGTTCAAGTCCAAATGAAGGCCAACTCCTGCAGAATTTCCTCTCCTCGCTCAGGGAGGTGGCTCCTTTGTTCTCTTCAGGCTTTCAGAGGATTGGAGGAGGCCCACCCCCATTACAGGAGGCAATCTGCTTTGCTCGGAGTTCACTGATATAAACCTTAATGTCCTTGAAAACCACCCTCACAGAAACATCCAGAATAATTTTTGACTACCTCTCTGGGCACTGTGACACAGCCAAGTTGATGTATAAAATGAGCCATCACACCGCTAAAGCCTGCTCTTTTACCCTCCACTTGCTTTTCATTTCCTCTGTACATGTTCCCTGGCCGTTTTTTCTAATCCTTGAAGCTTCTCTTAGTCCTTTTCCCCTCTAACATCTCATACTAAAGAGACGCAGAATTCCAAGGGTGCCATCAGGCCACAAGTTCGCATTTCTAGGGTTGGGTGAAGCTCCTTGCCCTTCTGGTGGCCGGGGACTGTGTCTGAATAGGCTCCTGGGGTATCTTGGGCCCCTGCTAACTTCTCCTCCAATGGCCCTGCCCCCCTCACTCGTGTCAAACTTCTTTATGCTGTTCTGGTCTGCCTTGAACCACCGCTTGCGTTACCATACTGGGAAATGGCTCTGTCACCTAGGCCTCGTTTTCTAGGTGCTCGTGAAGCCAGGACACAGGGTTGTGGCTTTCACCACCTACTTTAATCCCTAACAAGGATGAGGCAATGGGACAGTTCTGGGAAAAGCTTCTGGGGGGTGGGGAGGAGGGCCCAGAGGTCAACGTGGGCCTCATCCCGCCTCTTGTTCCCCTGAAGAGAGACCCCAGACCACAGTCAGGAGGTCGTGGGAATGAGTTGCTCTCTCTGGCAGGGTTCTGAATAACTCTCTAGTTTGGTTTTTTTTTTTTTTTTTTTTTCAGAGGGAAAACAAAAACAAAAACTAAATGAAAGTAAGAGCAGTAAATAGCAACACACACGCACAAAATATAGGGAGAGACTGAAACCTAAGTCTGTATTTTCTGCCTCCCCCCCTCACCACACATACCCCTTTCCTTGTTTAACCAGACACCACTGATCATTTCTGAAACCTTTTATAATATTCCTGTACTATCCAGACGCACAGAGACCAGTCACCCCCCTGTGATCTAGGGAAAGTCACACAGACTCTACTCTTAGCTTACCTCATCTGTAAACTGGAATGAGTAATGTGCCCCTCTCACAATTACTGTGAGATAATGCGTGGGAAAGAGTCTGCAGCCTGGTAAGTGTTGTCTGAACACTAGGGATTTAGTGAATCAATTAAAAGTGTACCAAAGACAGTAAAACAAGCAATCAGAAGACTAGACAAATGAGTAGTTGCTACTTTAAAAGTAAGGAGTAGATGGGTCTTGTCAGGGAGCAAAATCGAGTCATTTGCAATATGCTTGCTGTTGGGAATTATAAATATACAGGTATGTTTTCCTGCCACCTGCCAGGGCCTGCCCCTGCCCAGCCTGGTGGCCATGGCCACCAAAACTAACTTTACAAATTCCAGAACTTTGACCCTATGGGGTCTTAAATAAAAAACCATTTTGGTGTGAAAAAAAAATTAAGTTAAATTAAAAAATTAAACTCGCATCGCTTTTTCACTCTTTCTGGTCAATGTCAAAAATAATGATAATTTTTAAAGCTAAGAAGTTTGAATCATCTGATGGAGGATTTTTCCTGGAAAAGTGAAAAGACAATTCAGGGATGGGTATTGACGCCTATATCAGAATATCAAATGCAGTTTATATATATATATTATATTATATAAATATAATATATTTATATATTAATTAATATTAAATAAATTATATTTATACATATAAATATATGTATATATGTATATATACATAATTAAGTACTTTAAATATATATATATGGAAATAATAGGTTGCCTCTGCGTATCTTAATTGCTTTATATAGTTAACTACCTGTTATTCAACTTTTTAATTCTCTTCTTTGTTTTTCTGTTGATTCTCCTTGATGGCCATCGCAGACTCGATGACAATATTTGAAAAGTATGCCACATGCAGAGTGGCCAAAAGAATTTGTTTCCTGGCCCTGCAAGAGCTTCCCTCCCACCCCCCGACAATCTGCCCGGGGGGGCTCCCGGCGTACCCATCTCACCCCACGTTGAACCCAGGAACGCTTGGTGCCTGTGACTCTCATCTGATTCCCACACACTGCTTAGCAGGATCATTTATTTCTTTGTAAATTTAGGTTTACTCTTAAATGCTCTCTTTCTCCTCACACTAGCTAACATGAACAGCTGACCTGATTGGGGATTTACTGCGTGCTGGGCGCTGCTCTAAAGTTACGTGGGTTAACTTGTTCAAGGTTAGAAGTATTGCCAAGTGACAGGTGCCTTATGCCCATTGCACGTATGAACTAAACTGAGGTGTGTGTGTGTGGGGGGGCGGTGGGGATGAAGCATTTGTTCCACGCGAGGGAACCAAGCGTCGAGCCACCAGTAGTTGGACTCCGAATCACGGAGTTAGTTAAGGAGAGCTCCTTTGGAGTCAGGACCGTGCGTCTCAGCACTGAACCGTGAGTTGCATTCATCAAAGGACCTGTAACTGTGGGTGCTGCTTGTTGCTCTGTGAAAACAAATCCTCTTGTTATGGAAAAAACATAAAGAAAAAAAAAAGGAAAACAAGGCTAGGGGACTTGGGATCCTCTAATGCTATTTTTATGGTTTTCTCCTTGTCTTTTGTTTTTTTCCTCCATTAAATTAAAAATGTTAGATTAAGCTGACTGAATTCAGAAACAAGGAATGTTAACGCTGTTGAGGTTTTGCTGGCACTGATTTTTTCAAATATCAACCTGTGCTTTGGAGACGTAACTAGAAACATGGACAGAAACTCCCTATTATGCAACAAACCACTTCCTGCGTCTGTTTATTCATTTATCTGCAGTGTTTTGGCTAAACTCTCTCCTCTTGTAAAGTCATGTAATTGCAACTGTCTCACTACAGCATCGCAGCGCGGGAGAGCATGGATTCGGTAGCCGGGCCTTGAGGTTGGGAACTTCGATGATTCCGTGTATATAATACATGCCTCATTATGGGGGTAGAAAGGATTATTCTGCATTAATATATGTGAAGCATTAAAACAGTGCAAGGCCCATAATTAAATACTTTATATATGTTTATTTACGATTGTCACTAAAACCCCACAATCTTAGGAAATAAGTTTAATCACGCCTTCTGCAATCAGCAGCTCCGGCTCAGTTCAACCTGACGGATAACAAAAGGGAGGCCTCTATTCTGGTAGCAACATCAGAGATTAGACATGAAAGGAAAGGAACCCAAGGTTGTGCTGCTCACGCTTCTCCAGCATAGGCCCAACAGGTGGCAGTTGCAATCCTGCTTGAACGTTTCCAGTGATGGGAAGCTTAGAGTACCAGCTTATAGTACGAGGTCGGGATACAGCCCCGACCTTGTAACAAACTGAGCCTGGGCTTTCCCGGGGCCACATCCGCATCCCGGTAATTCCTTAAAAGTGATCACTCTTGCAGCCCCTGAGGATCTTGCAGCACGGGTGGCCACATCCCCTGTTTTCTTGGTAGGGGATGCTCTGGAAATCCACGGGAGCTGAGTTTCACCAACCCCGAGGTGTTGAGAGGCTGCCCACGGCTGAGCCACCCCGGGAACCCCTACCCCCTGTGAATCCCGCCATTCCTGCATGTTCTCAGCCCCCAGACCCCCCACAGGACTCCGTGGCCTCACCGTAGGGAGAAATCCGCCACAGCAGCTTTTTACTTTGGGGTGATCCTCGTCTCGTGTTAATCCACTTTGGCGGAGTCTGGAGACCTG